CAAACATCGACAAAAGGAACTATATTGAAATAAAAAGCTCTGCACAGCAAAGGAAAAAATAAAAACAGAATGAAGAGAAAACCTGCAGAATGGGAGAAATTATTTGCAAACTATTCATCTGACAAGCAATTAACATCTGGAGTGTACAAGGAACCCAAATAACTCAAGAGCAAAAGCCAAAAAGGTAAATAACAAAAAAAAAACAAAGAGTCCAGGCACAGCGGCTCACACTTATAATGCCAGCATTTTAGGAGGCCAAAGTAGAAAGGATTGCTTGAAGCCAGGAGTTCAAGACTAGCCTGGGCAGCACAGCAAGATCTCATCTCTATAAAAAATTTTAAAATTTGCCAGACGTGGAGGCATGCACTTGTCATTCCAGCTACTTAGGAGGTCGAGGCACTTGAACCCAGGGGTTTAAGGTTGCTTGGAGCTATAATCATGCCTCTGTACTCCAACATGGGCAATAGAGTAAGATCCCATCTCTAAAAGAAAAAACAAAAATAAAAATAAAAAAATAATAATCCCACTAAAAGGTAGTCAAAGAGTCTAAATCTCAAAAGAAGACATACAGATAGCCAAAAGGTGTATGAAAAAATGATCAACATCAATAAATCACTAATCATCAGGGAATGCAAATGAAAATCACAATGAGATGTCATCTTACCCCCACTAGAACTTCTATTATGAAAAAAACAAAAATAACAAATGCTGGCAAGGATGCGTAGAAAATAAAACTCTTATATGCTGTTGATGGGAATGTAAATTAGTACAGCCATCGTGGAAAACAGTATGGAGATTTCTCACAAAACTGAAACTACACCTGCCATGCCATCCAGCATTCCCACTACTGGGTATTTAGTCAAAGACAAGGAAATCAGTTTATCAAAGGGATACCTACACTCTCATGTTTATTGCAGCTCTACACCATAGCAAAAATATGCAATCAACCTAAGTGTTCATCAAGAGATGAACGCATAAAGAAAATATGTGTGTATTCCATTGTGTGTATACAAATATTTATAGTATTCCATTGTGTGTATACAAATATTTATAGTATTCTATTTATAGTATAGTATGTATATATGTATACACACAATAGAATACTATAAATATTCTAAATATAAATACTATATATAAATACTATATACTATTATACTATATGTAAATGCTATTTATAAATACTATAAATATATGTATACACACAATAGAATACTATTCAGCCATAAAAAATAATGAAATTCTGCCCTTTGTAGCAACTTGGAAGTCATTATGTTAAATGAAATGAGCCAGGCACAGAAAGGCAAATGTTTTATGTTCTCACTCACGTGCAAGAGTTAAAAAATTAGATCTCATGGATGTGGAAAGTAGAATCAGAGCTACAAGCTGAGAAGGGGGGAGGAGAGGATGAAGGGAGGTTAGTCCATACAAACATAGAGTTAGACAGAAGAAATAAGTTCTAGTGCTCTAAAGTACAGTAGGATGACAATAGTTGGCAACAATATATTGCATATTCCAAAGTAGCTAGATTTGCATTGTTCCCAACACAAAGAAATGATAAATGGTGGAAGTTATGGATATTCTAAACACCCTAATTAGATCATAGCACATTGTATGCGTGTATCAAAATATTACATGTAGCCCTTATAAATATGTACAATTATTATGGATCAATTAAAAAGTGTAAATATACAGTTACTACTATTTAATTGCACACGAACTTCATGGCCACCCTGTATTAGATGACACAGATTTCTCCGGGCCACTAAATAGTCTTCTAAAGCACAGCATCTCATTCGTATATCATAATTTATATTATCCTTCTATGATTGTTGATCATTTGGACTGTCTGAGCATTTTGGGAAGAGGATCTTAAGGAATAATTTACCTCTACCTATTTCTTGAGTTTACTCAGGGTCCCAGGGTCAGGTGCTGGGTCTTAGAAGGAAGCTTTTCTGCCAGGAAACACTAAAGGCCTTGAACCTTTTTTCAAATCTTTTCCTGCCACATTCAGGGCTTCTGGTGTACCTCTTTCCCCCAAATTACTCTGATGGAAAGATTTTAAGAGGATCCCAGGGAATTTGCTACAGCAAAGTCATATACTTCATGACCCTCTCAGGGGTGCAGTTTTTCCTTCGTCACCCACTCTTCCCAACAGGGACAACACAGGCCAGTTCTTGGCAAGTAAGTGTCTGGCTTCCTGCAGAAACTTGTGTCTGGAAGACAATGGCTCTGGCACAGCCCTCTCCCAGTACAGGCACTTAATAAAACAATCAGAAGCCATCAGTAGAAACTTGCCAAGGAGTGTGGGAAATGTCCTTCTAAGAGTGATGTTAAGGTAGCCCTGAGGCTCTGGAGTGCCTCTGCAGTGCACTGGTGGGTCCCAGAGGAACCGAGTGCTTACTGACTGGAGTCGTAGGCAGGGAGGGAGGGGTTTGACTCCGCAGCAGCTGGCAACTGCCTGCTCAGAGGACTTGCATTGTGGGCAGCTTGTGGGCCCTGGGGAGGGAGGTGGTGGGACACACCTTCTCTGGAATGTCCCAATATCCCAGAGGAGAAGAACCCGGCAACTGACGGAAATGTAATAAAACAGTCCAAAGGAGATGTAACCAGCTATGGATATTGTGAAACATGTCACAGTGTTTTTTTTGTTACAATACCACCCGTTTATTAAAACAGAACATAAAAACACTTAAAAATTATGTGCCCCTCTCCACTCTCATATACTCACTTTCCATCCAAATGCTCTCTCTGACCCTCAGGACTTCTTTGTTCTAAAATGTATTACAAAATATACATACATGGAAAGTGGACAAGACATTAATGTACAGTTTAGAGAATAACTATAAGGCATTTTATATCAAGAAATAGAGCACATTTCCTATAGATTATAGATAACCACTTCATGTGGTTATCAAAAGTCCGGATTTTTTGTATTTAGCACATTCCCTCAGAACAGCAGTAACTTCATAACTGAACTATCACTATTTATTTTTTCAATTTTGGCCTGATAATGTCCCTGCGTTGGCAGACCATCGAGACTTTGAAGGTGTTTAGACATTTGAAACATCTTTGGTTTGGGCTGCTTTTAGTGGGAAGGTTGGCGGGAAGCCTAGGTCACTGTCGAGGGCATTCTCTACTCGAGTCTTTGCCCACAGCCTTGGGGACCTATCTTGGACTCTTCTTTTGGTACCTGAGCAGGTTTTGTTTTTCACCTTTTTTCTTTTTTAAGTTAAACTAAGGTTTTTCAAATAAAAATAAAATGTTAGAGTATTTAACAAATTTAAATTATCCCAAGTGCCAAGGAGCTAATAAAGCTGCTATATTCTTTCCTCTCTTTTTTCTCGTTTTCTTCACATTACTTTTCAGAGGCATAAAAAAATGTCTTGGAGAACGTACTTGAAAGGGGATAAAGCTCCGTGCTGTTCTGAAATAAGTGAAAAACTATGTATTTATTTATAAGAAAAGGATCCTTAAGTTTGTAAGATTTTCAAGTGGGCTTATCCCACTCCATAAAAGATTGAGAATTGTATTAGTCTTCAATACTGCTGTTTTTTTCAAAAATTATCCTGGTTTCTATGCAGACATGGTACCTTCTAAATGTTTGTAAGTATATTTTGACAGCCTACTGTGATACTTTGCAGCAATTTGCTGTGCTTTTCTCAACATTGAGTACATGACTCTTTTCTCCAGGTCCTCTACATAGCACAGCAGTGAATATGCCCCCCTTTTAGAAGCTATTGCCCTGGGCAGGAAATGTGGATTCGGTTGATTGACTGTTCACTGATGAAATGGAATCTTAGATGTTTTCTAGCTAAGATCTGACGGCTCTTAACAAAATCAAGTGATTAGCCCTTTTCTTCTTGTAGGGAACCTTCTGGAACACAAAGATTTTCACTTTGGGCAGAGAGCACGCAGGTGGAAGTCTTCAGCTGTGTCCTACTTCTCACTGAAGGTTGGTACAGGCTCCAGTAACCTGAGAAAGTAACTGTCAGTGGTAGAGCTTTATTCTTCCCTCTGCATTCCCCAGCAGCACTCCCACCCTCTCAGGATAGTGGCTACTCCACCTGCCTCAACAAATTACAGAAAGAAGGGAAAGCACCAGGGTTCTCAGCAGTGTGACGCTGGGCCACAGGCAGGCTTCACCTTTCCTCTCGGCCCCTTCCGCTTTTTCCCGGTGTGCGCGCCCACATCCCCCAGCACAGCCCACCATCTTTCATTCACCTCGTCCAAGTCTTACTAAGTATATGTGGATAAACAATCCAGGCTCAGCGTCTGTGGCTCAAGTGGCTAAGGCGCCAGCCACATACACCTAAGTTGGCAGGTTCGAATCCAATCTGGGCCTGCCAAACAACAATGACGGCTGCAACCAAAAAATAGCTGGGTACTGTGGTGGGTGCCTGTGGTCCCAGCTACTTGGGAGGCTGAGGCAGGAGACTCGCTTGAGCCCAGGAGTTGGAGATTGCTGTGAGCTGTGATGCTACAGCACTCTACCCAGGGCAACAGCTTGAGGCTCTGTCTCAAAAAAAAAAAAAAAAAAAAAAGGCAAAACAATCCATGGAATTTGCATTTATTTAGAGGACCCCAGAAATCCCAAAGGATGGATGCTCTAACCCAGAAGGGTAGCAAATGGAGGAAGTAGGCAGTTGCCAGCTTTCAGGCTTTGTTGGGGTGTGGTGGAATTTGGTGGAGTCAGGGTTCTGGGACACATTGCCCAAAGCTCCCTCCTTGTAGCCCTGGGTTCCTATTTCTGCTGTCAGGACTGACTCAGCAGCTGTGCAGATCACAGAGTTGGTTAGATGATTCCCTCTTCACCTCGATCACTGGCAGTTGGTGGGCAAACCTCCTGGGCAGTTTTAGGTGATGAAACCTATCACATTAGCAGGAGAACGGGAGTGTGAAGTCTCAAGCTCCCAACCCCACCCCTTCCTTCCTCTATCCAGGGCTAAAAGTGTGGCAGGAGGAAGCACAGCACCATCTGACCAGGCAGCCCTTCAGGGAAGATGCAGCCCCTTCTGCTTCTGTTGGCCTTTCTCTTCTCCCCTGGGGCTGAGGCGGGTGAGTGACTGTCCCCACCCTCAGAGTTCTGACCCCATCACATAGATTCTGGAGTCAGACTTCTTGGTACATCCTAATTCTGTATTATTGAACAAGTTATTTGAATTCATATTTCCTCAGTTTCCTCATCTATACAATGGGAATGATATTAACAATGACCTTGTAGAGCTGTTATAAGAATTAAATGAGTTAGTGTACGTGAAAGTCTTGGAATTGCCCCCAGCACACAGCTCTATAAAAGTGCTCTATATAAATTCTTTCTGCAGCCCATGTGTCAGGGCCTACGAAGTTCAGAATACAGAAATAACTGTCCCATCAGCTCCATCTAGATCCCCACACACCCGTCCTATGTGGTCTTCAGCTGGGCTCAGAAGGATCTGGGAAGCTCCCTGAGGGAGAAAGTACCAGGGAAGCCCATGAAAAGTCCTGGGCTCACAGAAGACCATCTCTCCTCAATATCGGAGGCTGAAACTGGCCTTGTCTGGAGCAAGGATTTTTCTCCCCCTTTTGAGATGGGAGAGGGAGCTGAGGCCTAGGATGGGGAACCAATCTCCCCTCAGGTCAGCATGTTTCCTGTTGAACCCTGGATCCCTCTCCCAATGTTGGTGCCCCCTAAATCCCAGTCCTGAGCACCAACTCCTCCCTCACCTGCATCATCTCTCACGACCTCCCTAGCTTCCAGCCCTCTGGAACCACCCACCTGATGCCCACACAGTGGGTTCTGTGAGCACAGGGGTAAGTGCCGCATGCTTCTTTCCAGGGGAGATCATCGGAGGCCGGGAGGCCAGGCCCCACTCCCACCCCTACATGGCATTTCTTCAGATCCAGTCTCCTGGAACTAGTTGCGGGGGGTTCCTGGTGCGAGAAGACTTTGTGCTGACGGCAGCTCACTGCTGGGGAAGGTGAGGAGCTCAGGAGCTTCCTGGGCAGCCGGGAACACAAGCCCAGGAAAGTTCATCAGAAGAGCCATCTAAGAGCAGGGTTGTGTGACAAAAGTGTCAAAGGGAAATGGAGCAAGTCTTTGGGGGAAGAAACAGGCCAGTGCAAATGAGGAGAAAAGGAGCAAGAGGAGAAGATGGGAGGCAGGCAGTGGGACTCAAAATATGAACCCAAGCTATTTCCCAACTTAATCTGGGGAGCAAACCTCAGGGTCACCGTCCCCCTGTCATTTCCAGCTCAGGGCTGCTGAGAAACAGGGCAGAGCCCATTCCACAACTCCCCTGAGCCCCCAATTCTCTTTAGCTGCAGCCCTTCCCTGGCCTGGGCTGGCCCCTGCCCTGCAGAGCAGTGGACCACCACTCCTGTGGACCAGACCTACCTCTAGGCCACCTTGCCTTTGCAGCACTATAGTCGCCATCCTTGGAGCTCACAACATCCAAAGGCAGGAGAGGACCCAGCAACGCATCCCTGTGCTCAGAGCCATACGCCACCCTGATTACAACCAGCAGAATAACCACAACGACATCATGTTACTGCAGGTGCCAGGCCCTCTGGGTCTCCAGCCCAGCTGGCTCCTTCCCAGTGGGGCAGCTTCACTGAGTCTGGGGCAGTGCAGGAGGAAGCAAGGGCAGGGTGGTGGGGGAAATGGGGTGGGGGACATGGGGTGGGGGACATGGGGTCTCCCTGGGTGGTAGATGACGTGGGTGAGCACTGCACCAGCAGTCCCTGAGGATGGCGGCCCTACTAAGTGGGAACACCTACACCCTTCCCGCCAGCTGGAAAATAGAGCCACACAGAACGGAGCCGTGCGCCCAGTGGCTCTGCCTCAGAGATGGGCAAGGCTGAGGACTGGGACACTGTGCACAGTGGCCGGCTGGGGCCTGGTCAGCCTGAACCGAAGGACAGACAGACTCCAGGAGGTGCAGCTGAGAGTCCAGCGGGATCAGCAGTGCCAGAACCGCTTCCGTTTTTACATTGGCCACACTCAGATTTGTGTGGGGGACCCGAGGCAGAGGAAGTCTGCCTTCAGGGTAAGACCATGGGATCTGCCAACACTGCCCAGGACACAGAGGGCTGGGCAGAGCTGGGGCAGTGGGAGCAGACTCCACCCCCACAGCCTCACCCTAGGGGCTGGAACAGGATGGGCTGGGGACCGTTTTCCCATCAATCCAGTCTCTAGGGGAATGGGAGGAAGACCCAGAACTTTGGTGGGGAGGGGAAGAACTTGAATTTGGCTGAAGACAGTAACCATGGCCAGGGCAAAAGCCCAAGGACCAAAAGATCGCAGGGCTGATGTCTGCACCAACTTCGCACCCCACACACACCCAGCAACCAAAGAAGCTCACCCACCCCACCTCTTCTGAGAGCCCAGACAGGGAGGCAGGCTTAGTGTCCTCCCCCACCTCTGCCCGCAGGGAGACTCAGGAGGGCCCCTGGTGTGTAACAGCGTGGCCCATGGCATCGTCTCCTATGGAAACGCCAGGGGGACTCCTCCCGCAGTCTTCACCAGAGTCTCAAGCTTCCTGCCCTGGATAAGGAGGACAATGGAACGCTTCAAACAGCCTGGTCAGAGGGAGACCCCACTGTGACCGGTCTTCTCCAGGGCACAGCCCAGCTCCAGGGAGTTGCCAGAGCCTTTACACCAACTTCTCATTTGTTCATTAAACATCGTTTAGTAGTTTCTTTTGGACTGCTATAACAATACTATAAACCAGGTGGTTTTGAAACCACAGAAATTTCTCACAGGCCTAGAGGCCAAGGCACCTCACATCAAGGCATGAGCAGATTCCACGTCTGGTAAGCGCCCACTCCCTAATTCACAGACAGCCCTCTCCTCCTCCCTGTGTCCTCACAGGGTGGAAAGGGCAAAGGAGGTCCTCAGGGCTTTTTTTTTTTTTTTTGAGACAGAGCCTCAAGCTGTCCCCCTGGGTAGAATACTGTGGCATCACAGCTCAAAGCAACCTCCAACTCCTGGGCTCAAGCAAGTCTCCTGCCTCAGCCTCCCAAGTAGCCAGGACCACAGGCACCCACCACAGTACCCAGCTATTTTTTGGTTGCAGCCATCATTGTTCTTTGGCGGGCCCAGGCTGGATTCGAACCCGCCACCTTAGGTGTATGTGGCTGGCACCTTAGCCACTTGAGCCACAGGCACTGAGTCTCTCAGGGCTCTTTTGAGAGGACCATAATCCCCTTCATGAAAGCTCTGCCCTCATGACCTAATCACCTTCTAGAGTCCCCAGCCTAAACCTTGGGGATTAGGTTTCAATACATGAATTTTGGAGGCAAACACACATTCAGTCTATAGATTGTAATAATACGGTAGAACCTCTGTGAATTGACTGCCCAAACTGGTCAACATACGGAGGTGGTCAACATAAGGAACTACACCTTAGTACATGTGGCGCATATCTGGTCTATGAAACTTAAGGAGGTGGTGAACTGTGGAGTTCTACTGTATGTGCCAGGCTGAGCTGGCTTCCTCCAGGAAAATGGGGTCTCTTTCCCAGGACAAATGGATCCCCTCTATGTCCTGGGTATCCAGAGGAGCATCTTTTCTCCTTCAAGCCACCCACTCCCCATCCCACTTCCCCCCACTGCCTTGGGGCACAGTGGAAAGATATATCTCTCCCCAGAGGAAGTTTCTTTCTGCCCTATGAGATGATTTTCCCTACTTGATATTAAAATACTTTAATTAAATTAAGTATGAATTAAAATTAAATTTAAAAATAAATTAAATAATTACATTAATTTAATTAAGCTCTAATTAAAACAGTGTACCATCAGTGTACACAAAAATTGCAGGACAAAGGGACAGAACTGAAACTCCCTAGAAGGCCTAATTTAATATATAACAAAAGGTGGCATCTCAAATCATTGGAAAACAATGAAATTTTTAAAAATGGTATTAGAGGGTGGTGCCTGTGGCTCAAAGGAGTAGGGCGCCAGCCCCATATACTGGAGGTGGCGGGTTCAAACCCGGCCCTAGCCAAAAACTGCAAAAAAAGAAAAAAAAAAAAAAGGTATTAGAATACATAACTATTTGGGGGAGGGGAAGAAAATTGGATTCATTCCTCATACTATACTCCCAAATAAACCTCAATGGATCATAGATCTAAATGCAAAAATTAAGCCGTATAAGTACTAGAAGAAAAAATAAAAAGATATGCTTGTTTTAAAGTATCTAACAAAGACCTATGCTCATGAAAGCACTATTCACAACAGCCAATGAGAGAAGCAACCGAACTGTCCATCAGTGGCCAGAGTCCTTGCCCTAACCCCTTACACTATACCCATTTCACTGTTCTAGACACCAGCATTTTCATTTTCAGGGTGATAAACATCTGCTTTGTGCTTTTGAAACTCCAAAGTCATATCAACCTCTACACAAAATGTTGATTAAAGTAATAATACATTTACCCTGAAGATTTGCCCTAACCGGGCAATAGTATATTCAAATGAAAGATTATTAAAATCATATGATTTAAAATCATGCTTTAAACATCTTAAAGTAACTGGACAAAAGTCACCTGGGAGGCTTTTCTAGGTACCTGAACATGCTAATTACTCCTTGTAGTGTGACATTTGCTATCTGAACTTTTTCAATTTTCATAATGTTAAATGAAATAATCACTGAACAGGTATTTTATCAAATCCAACTGGCTATACACAGAAACGCTTTGATGAATTTGACCATTGTTTTCTGTGTATCTCTTACCAGAAAGTCATTTCTCTGATATTTAGCATAAGCCTTTTATCAACAAAATTTTAATCAACAATACATCTTCGACAATCTTCAGTCATTCTCTCTGTTTGCTAACTGCCTACCCACAGGAATTATCTGTTACTTGCCTGCTATCAGGGATAACAGTCTCATTATTAAATGTTTACACTGGCAAATGGAAAGAATACTTACTGTCAGGGAGGGATGAGGAGAGAGCAGTGGGAGAGGCCCCCACTCAACCCTTCCTTTCCATGACATTTACTTAGAGCCCAACTACTGTCCAGTCTTGGACTCAGTACCCAGGAAAGCTTAAGGGCAGACATCTCATTTTCATGTCTTTCTCTGCCAGACAGCACCTCCGAGGCAGAAGTGCCTCTGGCTGCCCTGCTGGGTAGGCTTCTGCTGACCCCAGGGTACTCGCCTCCAGAAGATAACTCACAACCCCTCTCAACCGATCTGCATGCCTCCCTTTTTAGCAAACCTCACCAGCAGAATTTTGACAAGAAAGTGTTTTGCATGATGAAAATCCATGCAAAAGAACACAATTCCTCTCCCTTTCTTTCTCCACGTGCAAATTTTGTGCATTAGGAGCCCTGCAGACTTGCATAGGAAGTCACAAAACCCTGAGTGCACGCACAGAAAGGTCACCATGAACTTCTCTTCCAACCCCAACAGCTGAAGAAGACTCTCTCCCTCTTTCTCTCTCTCACACACACACAAACACACATTCACACACACAATTCACCCACACTAATCTATTTCTTTTTTTTTTTTTTTTTTTGGTAAAGAGTCTCACTTTATTGCCCTTGGTGGAGTGCCGTGGCATCACACAGCTCACAGCAACCTCCAACTCCTGGGCCTAAGCAATTCTCTTGTCTCAGCCTCCTGAGTAGCTGGGACTACAGGCGCCCGCCACGATGCCCAGCCACTTTTTGTTGCAGTTTGGCCAGGGCTGAGTTTGAACCCACCACCCTCGGTATATGGGGCCCGGGCCCTACCCCCTGAGCAACAGGCACCACCCACTAATCTATTTCCTTTTCAGACTGTACAGGGAACAGAGAAGACAGGGTCTGTGTAGAGGCAAAAATCCAAAGATTCTGAGCTCAGACTTGCCTCTCACTGTTTCATGCGGAGCCTTTAGGGACCCTCCCGGTGAGGCCAGGGCTATGTCTGTCTTGTAAATGTAAATGAGAAACCTCTGCCTGTTTGAGGATCTCAATTATTTCTCCATGAGAAAAGGAATGGTTAATCTTGATGTACTTCTGGATCCATGTGACTCTGTGGCATAGCCAGGCTTTGAGTTTCCTTAATAAATCACGTCCACAGTGATGGAGAGCCCGTTTTGTCTTCCCTGAGCAGACACACACTTGAGACAATACCAAGGTGTAGAGACATCAGTCACCAGATCATCTCACAAAGAAGGGAAAGTTTCAGAGGAAAAGAAAAACATAAACCAGGTGTAATTCTGAGGAAAATGTGCAGAACTTACCAGAGACTTCATGGAAAGAAGTTGTGGAGCAGAGTTGTTGAGGCTATTCTAGATCTTTTTTCTTTCATGTAAAATTTAGAACCCAATTATTGATTTTTACAAAGCCTGCTGTGATTTTTACTGGGATCACACGCATAACAATTTGGGAGAATTGACATTTCAACAATATTGATTTATCTGATTTTCCTTACCACTGCTTTGTAGCTTTCGGCATATACACATTGTACATAATTTTTTAGTTTTTCTCTCTGTATATTTCATGTTTCATTTGGCGCTATTGTCCATGGTACTACTTTTCACTTTTGATTTCAAAGTGCTCATTGCTAATACAAAGGAATGTAGTTATAACCTATCTGGGTATTTACATTTGAATTTGATTTCTCATAGATAGCATTCAGTTAGGCCTTGCTTTCTCACCCAGCATGGTAATCATAGCCTTTTAAGTGGAATCTCTGGGAGTGTCCAAACTTTTTTTTCCTTCTTGCTTACATTGTAAAAAGAGTTGTCTTGGGCCACACATTGAAAATACTAAGAAAAGCTGATGAGCAAAGAAAAAGGCTATTCATCATTTTTGTGATATCTGACATGACAGATAAGCAAATCAGCCTCAATTAACCTACATGCAGCCCACAGGATACAGGTTGAACCCCTGCTTCAGACTATTTATATGTAATGTAATGATTAATATTACTGTGTTTAAATCTATCAGCTTGCTATTTTTTCCTATTTTCTTATGTGTTCCTTATTTTTTTTTTCTCCTTTTGTCTCCTTTTGTTTAAATCCTTTTGGGGATTTAGTATTTTTTTAAGATCCTGTGTCATCACACCTCTGATAGCCATACCTCTTCATTTTATTCTTTTTATCAATCTTTGAGAGATGGGGTCTTGCTGTGTTGCCCAAGCTGGATTTGATCCACTTGACTCAGCCTCCCAAGTAGCTGTGGGTGCATGACACTGTGCCTGATAATTTTATTCTTTTATTTTTTTAATAAGTCATCTGTACATAGATCATGAATACATTTATGCCATTATGGGATTCAGTGTGTTGATGATTTGTACAAATCAGAGTGCTTACATCCTACTAATCAACATAGCCTTCACCTCATTTACCCAATTACAGCATTAAGACATTTGTGTTCTGGCCTTCCTGTTCCCGGCGGTGCCTGGCTCCACTGGTGCTCACCATCCCAGCATCCGCAGTGGCCCAGCCCAAGCCAAGCACACCGGTGCGAACAAGACCACAGTTGGGATTCCCATACCCCTCAGATGGCCACAAGACTCAGGTCTCTGAAGAGTCAGCCTCCTGGTCTCCTGATCAGCTTCTTAAAGAAATCTTTCTAGGAGCAGTGTGAGGAACACAGGCACCTCCTGGACAAAGCCACCTGCTGAGCACTTACAGCCACCATGCCCAAGAGA